CTAATTTTTCGTCTATTTTAATTTGAGCTTTCTAATCCTTAGTGGACCTGGTGTGGGAAACAAAGACAGAGGAAATGGCAGATAGAATTTAATTTCCTTATAACCTGCAGCCCATTGACAAATACTTGAGGCTGGCAGAGTAAAGTGTTTCTCCAGGAACTCCCTGCTGTCTTAATGTTAATGCTTTGCTAGAGGGAAAAACAACCTTAGCTTGACAATAGCTAGGCCTCCAGTATCCTGGGAGTCTTCTTTAGCATAGGAAAATCTCACTGGAAACTTCCTCTGGACTTTACTTCCCCCAACCCCATAGTATAAAACCAGTCTCTCCTCATGGTCCCGGGTAGCTCTTTCTGCCCACCAGACCTGTCCCGTGCTTTAATAAAATCACCCTTTTGCACTGAAGACATCTTCAAGAATTCTTTCTTGGCCATTGGCTCCAGACCCCCCACAATCACCCCAAAAAACCTCATCAGGTTAGATGAGAAAACTGAAACACAGAGAGATTAAGTAACTTGTCCAAAGTCACATAGCTTGTAAATGGAGCAGGGATATGAAACTCAGAATTCTGGCTCTGCGGTTCATGGTCTTAACTATTATTCTATACTGTGTCATGCAAGGATACTTGTTAGAATTACACATAAACATAAGGGTGAGAGGGCTCTGATGAGCTAGCTCAATGAAATTCTTTGAAAGGTATTTGAACTTCGGTGAATTTTCTCTGTGACAGCTATTTTGGTTTCCCACAGACTGTGTGTGCATGTGTGTGCATACATGCATTTTGTGTGTGTATTAAAAAGGTAAGATGGCCGAAGAAGTGATTTTATTAAACCCATGTTAAGTAGTATTAAATTATAAATATTTTAAGTTCATTTTTGGTGAAATTGATGAAGTTTAGCTAATCTTTTGCTGTTAATTCGCATTACATGATTTACCAGAAAAAGTTCTTGAAGCATGTCTAGAACTCGTTTTACATGATTTTGTATTTCTTGAACATAATGGCTTATTGGAGTAAAGTTACTGATCAATGCCTTTGGAAATCTAAGAATTATGTATTGTTCATTCTTCTTCTCCAACATAATGCACAGATTCACAACTGATTCAGTAGTCTTGCTTCCCTTGATTTAGTTGAGTTCTTTGTGATATCTAGAGAAGAAAACAAGGAGGCAATTTTTAAAAAAAATTTTGTTTTGTTTATTTTTGAGAGAGAGAAACAACACGAGCAGGGGAGGGACAGAGAGAGAGAGAGAGGGAGACACAGAATCCGAAGCAGGCTCCAGGTTCTGAGCTGTCAGCACAGAGCCCGATGTGGGGCTCGAACTCATGAACCATGAGATCATGACCCGAGCCGAAGTTGGACGCTTATCCAACTTATCCCCAAGGAGGAAATTTTCAGTGTAATTATCAATTTCTTTTTATTCAAGTAGCTGCCTCAATAGGGTAAGCAGAATGAATCACTGCACAAACTCTGAACAAAAGTTTTGAAAAGTCAAATTCTTCTTGTTAGGAGATAATTTCCCATGGGTCTCTTGCATTTCTTCATGTCTTATATGCAGAAGCAATGAATGCCTTTGTTCTGGACTATCTTTTCAAGGGCTTTTGCACAGAAACAGCCTTGAAGATAGAGATGGTGTCTCCCTTCAAAGAAAAGGGCAGGTTTATTTACTGTCCAGTATAATAAAGATGATATCTTTCTCCGATGCAAAGGACATTTATGTTTACTGCCCATTATGAAAGATTAGGGTTCCCTAAACTTCAGGTTTCTCTTTCATAATGCAGTCCACTGTGTGCAGGTATCATCTGGTTGTCTCCATGTTGCACTTGGATCTCGAGGAACTGGCACATACTCTGGCTGTTGCTATTGCTATGAGTAATAAAGTCCTTGGCCTCTGTCTTCTGCCAAAGTCCATGAAACTGTGGCAGGCAAATTTGTTCTCTTCCAAGTAGAGCAGAGACTCAGAATCTTCCAAGTCCTTGAAATTTATTATTATAAAATTCTTTCCTAGATTTTCACCTTCATTTAGAATCAGCTTCCCTTTGGAAGAGGGAATTATCATTTCTTTGTTGTGGATTCAATAGAGACTTGGCAGGTTCTCTCTGCTTTGTTCACTGGAGAAGTGACTTGGACAGTTGTTAGTTGCATTCTCCCTCCTTTCCTTTGCACCTCCTGCCCCCGCCATTATCTTTAGTCATAGTTTTTCTTTCCCTTTTTTCCCCTCTTCTCTTTTTCTTTCAAAATTCTCTTCTGTCTACCACAAGCACTCCTTAGCCTTTTATACTTAAAATTAAATACAAACAGAAACTTTGCTAATCCTTTTAAGTCAGGTGTCCTTAGCGTGTAGGGAAACCAAAGATACTTTTCAAACCCTTACTTGGGGCACCCAGGTGGGTCAGTTAGTTAAGCATCCAACTCTTGATTTTGGCTTAGATCAAGATCTCAAAATCGTGAGATTGAGGACTGTGTCGGGCTCCATCTTCCCCTCCCTGGTTTGCTCACGTATGCACTCTCTCTGTCTATAAATAAATGAATAAATAAATCCAACTAAGACTCGATGCCATGCCAGGAACACCCCTTCCCCCATTTTGTATTTCTTCTCAGGCAGTGGACAGAAGTGTGTGATGGTAGGTGAAAGGGAATAGATTAATTTCCACCTATCAGCAAGTTTCAGCAGCAGACTGGGCAAACGTTCCTGATCCTTGGGGACAAGTCTGTGACCAAATGAGCTGCCGGAGTCCAGCTCCAGCAGGTCCAGGGCTTCCCGAAGGATGAACGGCGTCGGCGAAAAAGTGAAAATAAAACAAAACAAAAATAAAAATGGACACGGACAACAGCAGTGTGTTGAACTGGCCGATTTATTGCAGTAAATGTGGCATTATATGCTAGTGATTTCCTTGTAACATATGTCATCTATGTTTTTCTAACATTATCTAATTTTGAAAACGTTCCTTTGTATAATTACCCCATAAGGAATAACATGATTGTTTTGCCATAACGTTCCCTCCTGCCCTTTGCTTATTGATTAATTTCTTTTATTGTTTTTATTATGTATCTATGTTTATCTATAATTTATAAAGCATTTGCTTTGCTGTTCTCACGAAAGGTCATTTATCCCTCAACACCTCAAGTGGGACAGTTTCAGGGACATGACCTCTTAGTTGTTTCCCTGAACCATTCTTGGTTTTGAAGAACAAAAGTGTTTGCCTGGGTCCGAGGTGCCAGGAAGGGGGCCAAGAGGGCCTTAGAAACCCACGCCTTATACATTCTCAGAGAGACAATGCACCTAGGAACCAATGAACCATTCTGTACTTTAACCGACTAGGTTCAATCATCATCTGGAATGCCTCCTGGGGGCCAAGTGGGCCCAGGGGTCAGAGTGACCTATGTCCATAGATACACTCCTTAGTTACCGGAGTGGGGCTTTCGGATCCATATGTCTCTCCTTCGTTGGCCGCCTTTGCTGGCACCTGCACGAGGCCATCCTTCCTGCAAGTAGAGGCGTCTCCATAGGGAATGGCAAGGGCTAAACGTAAGGCCGCACAATTTCTTGCGGAACCTTATCTTCTTCCCTAATGGTTCTTTTCCCAGGGGGCCTGCCGAGGCCAATTCCCCAACAGACAATACCCCAGGTACTTTTAAGGCCGAATTACCTAAAAGCGGGAGGACAAGAAGCTTCACTGTCGGCGGGCCACCCTGCAGTCACCAGTCCGTCCACAGCCTGGGCTCTGCCACTCAGGCTGGGTAGCTGGGCTTCCACCAATGAGCTATAACCTAACAGTGAATACCAACAATGATAAGGAAACATTTTTGCAAAATCTGGATCAGTCTATATCAGCGGTCAGCAGTCTATGGCCTGTGCCCCAAATGTGGCCTACTGCTTTTTTGGTTCATGAGGTTTCACTGGAAGGCAGCCAGCCATATGCATTCATTTCCATATTGTCTATGGTGGCTTGCTTGTTAACAGTGGCAGAGATGAGTGATTGCAATAGAGACCATATGGCCGGCAAAGATTTGCTTCAAGATTTACTATCTGACCCTTTACAAATAAAGACACAAACAAAAGGTTACCAACCCTGCTCTAGTTGTGTTTTGTGCTGGTGATTCTCAATGTCAGGTGGTGAGGAAGACAGAAAAAGGAGTAAGCTCATCAGAATCACCTGGGCAGGCTTTTCAAAAAGTGCTCCTCTCCATCTCCCCTCCAGTTTCTCATAGGTGTTCCCTGCTGAGAGTCACTGTGTTAAACTGTTAAGATTCCAGTTGTTTGGTTCCATTAACTGGCACAGATTGTTTGTTTTCACTATTTGACCCTCCGGGACATACCCAAAGTAATACTGACTGTGTTATTTCTTTTACAGGGTTGTGGGAAGAAAATGTATTCCTTTTTGAGGGGAACCAAACAACTGCAGGTGCTAAGGTTTCTGGGGATCTCCATTGGAGTGACACAGATCCTGGCCATGATTCTCACCATTACTCTGCTCTGGGCTCTCTACTATGATCGAAGGGAGCCTGGGACAGACCAAATGATGTCCCTGAAGAATGACACGACTCAGCACCTGTCATGTCACTCAGTAGAACTGTTGAAACCAAGCCTGTCGAGGATCTTTGAACACACATCTATGGCAAACAGCTTTACTACACACTTCGAGATGGAGGAATTATAGAGGATGTCAAAGAAGGAAACTACAAATTTATTTTATTGGACTCGTGCATTCTTGAGCACACACTTATCTGTTTCAGAAATGTGTAGAAATAAGAATGTTGCCATAAGGAATGCCGGAGCATATAATTTTCTACCCTTTAAAGTGAAGAGGGAAAAATTCCATTTTGTAAGTCACCACCTGGACAACGGTTGATGCCCTTTATAATGCTGAGGACAGATCCAATACCCACTTTATAGCCTGTGTAAGATTTTTACTGAACACAGTTATTCTTTGAGGCTCATGCTTTGGCTTAGTTTGACCAGCATTTCCGCATCCATGTAAACAAGCCATGCTCTGGTGGCATTGGAGCCACAGTAAAGTTTGATTTACTTTCATAAGCTTGCTAGTATATCAAGTACCAATGAACGGCTAACACAGGAAGTTAGGCAGTATTAATGAATTGTATTACTTGGTGACATAGTTTTTGGAGAGTGGGTTGATTATACATAAGAAAACTTTGAAGATTGGTGACTATCTAAATGTGATTTTTTTTCTGGTTACTAAAATATTCTTGTTACTTAACAAGAGCAAATTAACACATTGTCTTAAACTGATCAGGGATCTATGTGTATATAAGAGTCTGTGGTAAGTCTGTATAATTCAGTAGATTTCAGTTCTTATAATGTTAAGAATAACAATTGTGAGTGGAAAGGATAAATTTGTCCTGTATAGCACCATTATTGTTAACCTTTCCTGTAATAGAGCTTTAAAAATCCGTCTTGGGCTTATATTACGTACATAACTGTTAATTTAAATACTTAACCACTAATTTTGAAAGATTGCCAGTGTGATGCATAGGAATCATTTTAAGTCAGAATGTCGTCTGGTCTCTAGGAAATATTCCAAGGAAGTTTGCACATAACGGTAGTTCATTTAGCAAAATCTTGGATGCTGCCTTTCTCCCAAACTAAGGCTCTTTTTGACACTCAACACTTTTTAAAGCCTTTGTCTTCTCCAAACAATAGGCAATAGTCCACAAGTTTGAATACAGCTCCATAGAGAATACTGTCCCTTCTCTCCAGCAAAATGCCAAGAGAATCATTAAAATAAGTGACAATTTAGAGATTTTCTTCGCTTTATTTCACTGATTAAGATACTGTGGTGAATTACACAGATTATTAAATTTTTTACAAGAGTAAAATATATTTATTTGAAATGGGGAGAGTGCATTTTACTGTATTTTGTGTATAATGTTTATTAGAAAATGAAAAGAAAATTAAAATGTGTCAATAAATATTTTCTAGAGAGTAATAATTTGTCTGTGTCTAATTTTTATACACGATGAACACTTTTACCTCTCACGATGATTGGCAAGGGGAGAGAAATATAAGAAGAAATGATTAAGTAAAGTAACAATAATGATTGCCAAACTCTGGAACTAATCTATAAGAGGATGTATCCTCAGTGAGAAAAGACAAAAAGATGCCCACTTACTTTTCAGGTTCGTTTTTGAGCTAAATGATAAATAATGTAGTTGTTTGCTAGAACATAAAAATATGCACATTCATGCTGATTCATCTTCTCAATGTTTTCACATCCCAGTTTCTTCAAGTAACTTTTAGAAGCAAATGAGTCTAAGAAATGCAACATTTGAAATTAACTGCCAGATTTTATCTCTCCCATAGATTCAAATAAAAACTGAGTAAATTCCTTGCTCAGTCAGAACCAAAAGTGTCCTTTTTTATAATTTCCTCAACATCCAGCTCCTCATAACTTCACCTAAAATGCCCATGGAATCGAGACAGCTATGACTATTATTTGAATTATTTGGATAATGGTCAAATTATCTAAATGGCTGCTTTTTTGGTTGATGTGTCTCAGTCACAGGAAGAACAAGTACATATTGTGTTGACCTCAGTTGAAAATCTGCAAATTTTAAATAAAAGCCAATTTCCACATTTTTAGACTTTAGATTTTTTGATATATTACCTGACTTAGTACTCCAGAGGAGTCAACATAAATTTAGACAGACATCTTATATATACTACACTTGCTTAATGGGAACAAATGACATTTATAGCCGTGGTCTACATGGGCCTCTTACGGTGGCAGTGCACCTGGAAAAATAAAACTGCAAGAGACTTTAAAAAGTGTACTTAATATGGTAGAGCTGAGGGAGTTCACTGTTTGCATATACTGCAAAAAAAAAAAAAAAAAAAAAAAAAAAAAAAAGAAAGAAAAAATTGCTATTTCTTTGGAAGTTTTTAAAAGGTTTTCTTTTATTAAAAAAATCACTACTTTTGGTGAAAATTTAAGATTATTTCCAGCCTAGTTAATAGTCCATTCAAAGTGCCCTGGAGATTCAGAAATGACAGTAGGAGATAGAGTCTGTCCTCAAGCACTGTAAAATGTGGTAGAGAGACCCTGTGCCAGCCACAGATAAAACTCTTAGGAGAACATGCAGTGAGTGGGTTCATGCTGAGGAATGAGAGACTAAGGAGAGTGGAATTGAGGCAGCTACACCAAAAAAAGGCCTTCAAGCTGAGTCAGGAAGGAAAGTAGAGTTTAGCTCACTCATGGAGAACATTCCGTGACTCTGAAGTTAATAAGTATGTATTATTTTGGGGGCAGAGCATGTCCTTTGATGTGGTTAGAGCACAGGATGCTTGAAGAGATACCATGAGAAAGGAAATGAGTGAAATTTAGGTTTTGAAATTCATTTTGTAAGCTAAATGGGAAGTCATTGAAGTACTCTCAGAAAGGATTTGCCTCTCAGAAACTTAACTGGATTAGCCAGTGAGCAGTGAGACAGGTATAGTTACTACACATCCCTGTGGGGCGGCCATTCTTTACCTCGTGTAGCTACCAGGTGTCCAGAGTTCTAGAACACCGGAGACTCTGACTCTGGAGGGGGGCTGGGTAGATTGCTGTTGCTGTGGTCCTGGAGAGGGAAGGACCCTCACTAGGGCAATGGAAGTAAATAATAATAATAATAACAAATAAGGAAAGCATAAAACAGGTTACAACAGGGTGAATCCACAAAAATGGGCAGCAAATTGAGTGTGGGTTGAGAAGCAAAAGACCTGAAATGTCTACAGTTTGTAGCTAGTAAATTGGCAATGGCATTAGCCTAGATAGAAGACTAGAGGGGGAGCCGGTGTGTGGGAGGGTAATCAATTTGGTTTGGGACATACCAAGTGGGCCAGGCCTGAAGGACGTGCAGACGGAGATGTCTACAGACAGCTGTAAACTCCAGTCTGGAGCTCAGAGAGTTCACTGGGAGCCTGAGAATTTTTATGCATTGCTTTCCCATCTCAGGAGGCCTGACAGAAAATGGGCTGAGAACCAAATCTAATATGAGGAGAATCTTAAGTAGGATGCTACAAGAGCTTCCTTTTGTCTGAACTCCCACTCCTGTGGATGAGTCAAGCGAGGTAAAGAGAGGAGAAACGAATAAACCACTGAATCTTCTGTGGCAAAAGGAGCCACCCCTTTTAAAACAATACTGCCAAGCGCTATGTTGCTCATCCAACCCCACTTCCTGTTATCATCCTGTGATTTACAAGCGGATTCCTCTTTCCTATTAACCGAATTATTTCCTCGCCTCCACGCACCTCCTAGAAACATGTTGGGGAGAGTCTCTCGTGCCATTTGATAGTCATTTATTTTCTCTTAGAATGTTACTGCAATCACTCATCTCGTGCATTTGTGGGTGCCCATGAGGTGCCAGGCCACAGGGTGCCAGGTGTATTACAGGTGTATTTCTCTGCTTTCTACAACCGTTTTGTAATCCATAGGCATCATGATCCCTGTGATACAAATGAATGAGAGAGACCCGGAGATATTGAAGAAATACATCTAACTAGGTAAAGTGGCAGTGCTCTACCCTCCCTGCCTCACCACTTTGTGACACGGTGTCTTCATCAGCCTGTGGTGAAGTGCAGCTGTTGCCTTACGCAGAAAAGCCAAGTCCTCCTCCATGGCCATCAGTATCTCTAGGCCCAACTTGCCTCCAAATTCTGTTACTTCTTCCTTCAAAATGAGCCTCTTTTCTGATTTCATTCGTCCTACGATTTCCCAGAACAAGTTCAAATCATCTAAAACTTCGGTTGAAGCGTTACATTTCTCTCTTCTCTCTTCTCCCATCTCTGGTCTCCTTCCACTGATCTATCTTGCACATATACACAGCCAAATTAATTTCTTTAATCAACTTTATTGAGGTGATAAACTATATATATTTGTAAGTATTAGTTTTGACAAATCTATAGACTCATGTAACTACAACCACAATCAAGATACAGAACGTTTCATCATCTCAAAAAGTTCCACTACATGCCTTTGCTGTAAATCCCTTACAATCCCCACTCCTAGCCCCAGGTGACACTGTTTATGTCACTCATTTTTTATAAAACACAATTCCTGTCATGTCATTTCTTCGTTCAAACCCTCCCAGGAGTTCTTGGCTTTGATTAAGACAGAGGTGTCCAGCTCATCTGTGTATATGGCAATTATGTGGCACGTTGGGATAAATGAAGCCAGAGGGGACTGGCCATCCTAGGTTTGCCCTAATAAGTGAGGGCTACAGGAAAGTGATAGCTCAGCACCCAGGTCTGGCTGCAGTCCAGTGCTTTAAACAAAATGGAAGTGATTTGATATTTCATAAAATGTACCTGTGTGAGTAGCCCAAGGTACAGCTGCCTGAAAGAGTCAGGGACTCAAGCCCTTTTCTCCTGCCGCTCTGCTGCGTTAAGGCATTTCCCACGCTCACATGGCCCCAAATAGCAAACTCTACTCTCATATATATGGCAGCAGGCGGGAGAAAGTGGAAAGTGGATGGGAGGAGACGTGCTTCTTCCCTTTCAGGGCATACCCAGAAACATACATAGCTTCCATTCACGTCTCACAGCTATAAGGGGGCTGGGGGAACAGTGTTTATTCCAGGCACCCATGTATCCAGTTGAACCAGGAAGTTCTATGACCATGGAAGGAGGGGAAACTGGTATAGGTGTCACTTAGCAATC